TTGGGGCATTAAGTAAAAAATCAAAAAGTTTTCTTTTCTCACTGGATACTGAATGTAATGAGTTGAACTCGTCAGGGAATTCAATTCTGGCCTCTAGGCACCTCCTGTGAATTTTTGAGCAATTTTGGAGAAGTTAGATTTTTGGGTGAAAAACTGACTTTTTCGATGATGCCGGCTATGGAAAACGTTGAAGTTTTGGGGGCATTTTGTAAAAAATCAAAAAGTTTTCTTTTCTCACTGGATACTGAATGTAATGAGTTGAACTCTTCAGGGAATTCAATTTTGGCCTCTAGTCACCTTCTTTGAACTTTTGAGCAATTTTGGAGAAGTTGGATTTTTGGGTGAAAAACTAACTTTTTCGATGATGCCGGCTATGGAAAACGTTGAAGTTTTTGGGGCATTTTGTAAAAAATCAAAAAGTTTTCTTTTCTCACTGGATACTGAATGTAATGAGTTGAACTCTTCAGGAAATTCAATTGTGGCCTCTAGGCACCTTCTGTGAAGTTTTGAGAAATTTTGGAGAAGTTGTTTTTGGGTGAAAAACTGACTTTTTCGATGATGCCGGCTATGGAAAAAGTTGAAGTTTTGGGGGCATTTTGTAAAAAATCAAAAAGTTTTCTTTTCTCACTGGATACTGAATGTAATGAGTTGAACTCTTCAGGGAATTTAATTTTGGCCTCTAGGCACCTCTTTGAACTTTTGAGCATTTTGGAGAAGTTGGATTTTTGGGTGAAAAACTGACTTTTTCGATGACGCCGGCTATGGAAAACGTTGAAGTTTTGGGGGCATTTTGTATGAAATCAAAAAGTTTTCTTTTTTCACTGGATACTGAATGTAATGAGTTGAACTCTTCAGGGAATTCAATTGTGGCCTCTAGGCACCTCCTGTGAAGTTTTGAGAAATTTTGGAGAAGTTGGATTTTTGGGTGAAAAAACTGACTTTTTCGATGATGCCGGCTATGGAAAACGTTGAAGTTTTGGGGGCATTAAGTAAAAAATCAAAAAGTTTTCTTTTCTCACTGGATACTGAATGTAATGAGTTGAACTCTTCAGGGAATTCAATTCTGGCCTCTAGGCACCTCCTGTGAATTTTTGAGCAATTTTGGTGAAGTTGGATTTTTGGGTGAAAAAGTGACTTTTTCGATGATGCCGGCTATGGAAAACGTTGAAGTTTTGGGGGCATTTTGTAAAAAATCAAAAGTTTTCTTTTCTCACTTGATACTGAATGTAATGAGTTGAACTCTTCAGGGAATTCAATTTGGCTTCTAGTCACCTTCTTTGAACTTTTGAGCATTTTGGAGAAGTTGGATTTTTGGGTGAAAAACTGACTTTTTCGATGATGCCGGCTATGGAAAACGTTGAAGTTTTGGGGGCATTTTGTAAAAAATCAAAAAGTTTTCTTTTCTCACTGGATACTGAATGTAATGAGTTGAACTCTTCAGGGAATTCAATTTTGGCCTTTAGTCACCTTCTTTGAACTTTTGAGCAATTTTGGAGAAGTTGGATTTTTGGGTGAAAAACTGACTTTTTCAATGATGCCGGCTATGGAAAACGTTGAAGTTTTTGGGGCATTTTGTAAAAAATCAAAAAGTTTTCTTTTCTCACTGGATACTGAATGTAATGAGTTGAACTCTTCAGGGAATTCAATTGTGGCCTCTAGGCACCTCCTGTGAAGTTTTGAGAAATTTTGGAGAAGTTGTATTTTTGGGTGAAAAACTGACTTTTTCGATGATGCCGGCTATGGAAAACGTTGAAGTTTTGGGGCATTTTGTAAAAAATCAAAAAGTTTTCTTTTCTCACTGGATACTGAATGTAATGAGTTGAACTCTTCAGGAAATTCAATTTTGGCCTCTAGGCACCTTCTTTGAACTTTTGAGCATTTTTGGAGAAGTTGTATTTTTGGGTGAAAAACTGACTTTTTCGATGATGCCAGCTATGGAAAACGTTGAAGTTTTGGGGGCATTTTGTAAAAAATCAAAAAGTTTTCTTTTTTCACTGGATACTGAATGTAATGAGTTGAACTCGTCAGGGAATTCAATTCTGGCCTCTAGGCACCTCCTGTGAATTTTTGAGCAATTTTGGAGAAGTTAGATTTTTGGGTGAAAAACTGACTTTTTCGATGATGCCGGCTATGGAAAACGTTGAAGTTTTGGGGGCATTTTGTAAAAAATCAAAAAGTTTTCTTTTCTCACTGGATACTGAATGTAATGAGTTGAACTCTTCAGGGAATTCAATTTTGGCCTCTAGTCACCTTCTTTGAACTTTTGAGCAATTTTGGAGAAGTTGGATTTTTGGGTGAAAAACTAACTTTTTCGATGATGCCGGCTATGGAAAACGTTGAAGTTTTTGGGGCATTTTGTAAAAAATCAAAAAGTTTTCTTTTCTCACTGGATACTGAATGTAATGAGTTGAACTCTTCAGGAAATTCAATTGTGGCCTCTAGGCACCTTCTGTGAAGTTTTGAGAAATTTTGGAGAAGTTGTATTTTTGGGTGAAAAACTGACTTTTTCGATGATGCCGGCTATGGAAAAAGTTGAAGTTTTGGGGGCATTTTGTAAAAAATCAAAAAGTTTTCTTTTCTCACTGGATACTGAATGTAATGAGTTGAACTCTTCAGGGAATTTAATTTTGGCCTCTAGGCACCTTCTTTGAACTTTTGAGCATTTTTGGAGAAGTTGGATTTTTGGGTGAAAAACTGACTTTTTCGATGACGCCGGCTATGGAAAACGTTGAAGTTTTGGGGGCATTTTGTATGAAATCAAAAAGTTTTCTTTTTTCACTGGATACTGAATGTAATGAGTTGAACTCTTCAGGGAATTCAATTGTGGCCTCTAGGCACCTCCTGTGAAGTTTTGAGAAATTTTGGAGAAGTTGGATTTTTGGGTGAAAAACTGACTTTTTCGATGATGCCGGCTATGGAAAACGTTGAAGTTTTGGGGGCATTAAGTAAAAAATCAAAAAGTTTTCTTTTCTCACTGGATACTGAATGTAATGAGTTGAACTCTTCAGGGAATTCAATTCTGGCCTCTAGGCACCTCCTGTGAATTTTTGAGCAATTTTGGTGAAGTTGGATTTTTGGGTGAAAAAGTGACTTTTTCGATGATGCCGGCTATGGAAAACGTTGAAGTTTTGGGGGCATTTTGTAAAAAATCAAAAAGTTTTCTTTTCTCACTTGATACTGAATGTAATGAGTTGAACTCTTCAGGGAATTCAATTTTGGCTTCTAGTCACCTTCTTTGAACTTTTGAGCATTTTTGGAGAAGTTGGATTTTTGGGTGAAAAACTGACTTTTTCGATGATGCCGGCTATGGAAAACGTTGAAGTTTTGGGGGCATTTTGTAAAAAATCAAAAAGTTTTCTTTTCTCACTGGATACTGAATGTAATGAGTTGAACTCTTCAGGGAATTCAATTTTGGCCTTTAGTCACCTTCTTTGAACTTTTGAGCAATTTTGGAGAAGTTGGATTTTTGGGTGAAAAACTGACTTTTTCAATGATGCCGGCTATGGAAAACGTTGAAGTTTTTGGGGCATTTTGTAAAAAATCAAAAAGTTTTCTTTTCTCACTGGATACTGAATGTAATGAGTTGAACTCTTCAGGGAATTCAATTGTGGCCTCTAGGCACCTCCTGTGAAGTTTTGAGAAATTTTGGAGAAGTTGTATTTTTGGGTGAAAAACTGACTTTTTTCGATGATGCCGGCTATGGAAAACGTTGAAGTTTTGGGGGCATTTTGTAAAAAATCAAAAAGTTTTCTTTTCTCACTGGATACTGAATGTAATGAGTTGAACTCTTCAGGAAATTCAATTTTGGCCTCTAGGCACCTTCTTTGAACTTTTGAGCATTTTTGGAGAAGTTGTATTTTTGGGTGAAAAACTGACTTTTTCGATGATGCCAGCTATGGAAAACGTTGAAGTTTTGGGGGCATTTTGTAAAAAATCAAAAAGTTTTCTTTTTTCACTGGATACTGAATGTAATGAGTTGAACTCTTCAGGGAATTCAATTCTGGCCTCTAGGCACCTTTTGTGAACTTTTGAGCAATTTTGGAGAAGTTGTATTTTTGGGTGAAAAACTGACTTTTTCGATGATGCCGGCTATGGAAAACGTTGAAGTTTTGGTGGCATTTTGTAAAAAATCAAAAAGTTTTCTTTTCTCACTGGATACTGAATGTAATGAGTTGAACTCTTCAGGGAATTCAATTTTGGCCTCTAGGCACCTTCTTTGAACTTTTTAGCATTTTTGGAGAAGTTGGATTTTTGGGTGAAAAACTGACTTTTTCGATGATGCCGGCTATGGAAAACGTTGAAGTTTTGGGGGCATTTGGTAAAAAATCAAAAAGTTTTCTTTTCTCACTGGATACTGAATTTAATGAGTTGAACTCTTTAGGGAATTCAATTCTGGCCTCTAGGCACCTCCTCTGAAGTTTTGAGCAATTTTGGAGAAGTTGGATTTTTGGGTGAAAAACTAACTTTTTCGATGATGCCGGCTATGGAAAACGTTGAAGTTTTTGGGGCATTTTGTAAAAAATCAAAAAGTTTTCTTTTCTCCCTGGATACTGAATGTAATGAGTTGAACTCTTCAGGGAATTCAATTCTGGCCTCTAGGCACCTCCTGTGAACTTTTGAGCAATTTTGGTGAAGTTGGATTTTTTGGGTAAAAACTGACTTTTTCGATGATGCCGGCTATGGAAAACGTTGAAGTTTTGGGGGCATTTTTGTAAAAAATCAAAAAGTTTTCTTTTCTCACTGGATACTGAATGTAATGAGTTGAACTCTTAAGGTAATTCAATTTTGGTCTCTAGGGACCTTCTGTGAACTTTTGAGCATTTTTGGAGAAGTTGGATTTTTGGGTGAAAAACTGACTTTTTGCGATGATGCCGGCTATGGAAAACGTTGAAGTTTTTGGGGGCATTTTGTAAAAAATCAAAAAGTTTTCTTTTCTCACTGGAAACTGAATGTAATGAGTTGAACTCTTCAGGGAATTCAATTCTGGCCTCTTCAGGGTGTGAAATTAAGAAAAATAGATGGTTGCCCGAGGGCAACCATGAGCTGAAACTCAGGTTGCCCGGAAGAAAGTTTGGTTGCCCGAAAATTCCAATGGTTTTTATGAAGCTATAGATTCATTGCAGAGCTCTATAAATTGTTCTAAATGCACTCCCAATCAATCTGTGTGGTTTTTAATGTCAGGTAAGTGTTACTGTAACTTAAAAAAATTATTCATATGTATTTTAATTTATTTAGTTATTTTATTTATTTATTTATTTATTTTTTACAATGATTTTGTACAATGCTAGTCTGTTTTAGTTTGGCTTGTGAATTTGTATTTTCTTTTAATTTAAAGCAACAAGTGATATTTTGTTAGACATTGAGAGAGGTTTAGTGGACAAAACTGCATTGGCCATCCAATCATTTCCAAAATTACTTACCTTTTGTCTTGACCAACTTAAGTGTCAACCTAGGCTTCATCTTCATCGTCATCAGCAACTGAAACTAAGTCATTGTCCATTTGTTCTTCATTTGACTCAATGTCAGCTGAGGCCCTTGTTCCATATTGCTGAGTGAACCGTCTGGTTCTCTTGGTGTCAGTCCACCATCTGTTGATGGAAGGCATAGGATCAAAGCTCTCCACTGTTGTGTTAGCAAGCTTGAGTGCCATGAGGTTGCTTGTAGTCTCTGGATGTAGTCTTGACCTCCAGTCATTCTTAACCCTACCCATTAGGGAGAATCCCCGTTCTGCTTCAGCTGAATGGATCGGGAGCACCAACATGATCTTTACTAGAGTTAAGATGTTGGCAAACCTCTGACTCTCATTGTACGTTTGCAGGACTTTCTTCCAGAATGCTTGGAATCGTTCATTGTTAGCAATACACCTGTCAGGTTGTTCCCTTTTCAGCTCTCTGCATGATAGTAGTAGCTGGGTCCATTCAATTTCCATTGAAGTTGTATCAGTGCCATTCCTATTCAGCAGATCACTGAAATGGTTAGTGATGGTCTGAATCTCAGTAGTTCCAAAATCTGCTAACACTTCAATGTCATGAGGCCAGTTCATTGGCTCAAATACTCGGAAAGCTTTCAGTACAGGGTCATTAAATGAGGCAAACCTCTGATTGAGAGCCTCTGCAGTGGCAGACACCATGCAACTGACACTCTTTTCTACATCCTCCAGAGCTGTGTCAAGTGTGTGTTGTCTGCCCCTGGAACTCCCTGACTGTAGCTTTAGTCTCTCGCCTCTGTACATGACATCAGTCCCTGTTACAACAAGATCCTTTTCGACAAAGGATTTCAGCACTCCCTTGGCATCAAATCGGTCAGAGGCTAACTTGAGCTGTGCAGCCTGCAGGGTGGTGTACAAGGTTTCCACTGATGAGTCGTTGTCCTGGAAGACCTCACTTATGGTTCTACAGATACTGAAGAACTTCAAAGCCACATGCAACATGAGCACAAAGTGAACGGATACAAGTGTCAGATGGAGACCTTTTGCCTTGGCAGCAGTTTCATTTGTACCCATTGCTACCTGGGACAGATGGTTAGCCAAAGCTAGCCAGTCTCGGTCCACTGCCAGCAATGCTCTGTGTCGGTGGGGAACCCAGCGTGTGCCCCAGATGTTTCCTGGTCGAAGGATAGTTATTTTCAGGGCCTTGCCAGCTTCCATGAGACCATCCATGTTCAGGGAGGAGTAGTGATAGAATTTGTACAAGCTGGACAAGAAAGCATCAATTGTGTCCCACAATTTTGACTTACGAGCTGCATCCTTTAGTGCCAGTTCCAATCTGTGAGCGCAACATCTAATTCCAATGAGGTGGGGAATTTTTGTACGCAATTTGGCAACAAGGCCTTCTCTACATCCAAAGTTCACAGCTGCCCCATCAGTTGCAATCCCTACAAGTTTTTCACGCCAGTCTTTACAGTTGACTTTCTTCTCTAAAGCTGAACCCACCGCACCCTTAAGACCTTCAGCATCTGCCTTGTGGACTGACTCCAATGATATGAATTTTGTCTCGGGTACACACTCATGGTTCAAGAATCTTGCGAACACAATCTCCTCTTCTATTATTCCCTTGTCTGTGGAGCCGTCGCATATGACACTGATAAAACTGTTTTGGTTCAACATCTGGGAAATGTTGTTATTGTTCTCTTCGCCCATATATGAAATAAAAGTCTTTGCCTGTTTATCGTTGGCATAATGGTTTCCCAAGGTGTCATTATAATTTATGTCCTGTAGACTCAGCAGACCTGGAAAATCTCTGAATGGCCTTTCAGATTTGGCAAGATAAAAGGCTGTTCTAAACATTTTTTCAATTGTTCAATCTGCGTCCCCTCCATTTTCATCAATCCTTTCTCAATTGGAGTGCTGCCGGGTGCTGTCTTTGCCATAGTTGCAGCTTTTACTGCTTCAGCAGATTTATAATGATCCTCACTATTTTCATGCTTCTTGATGCTTGTAAGTCTCAGGCTATTACACCCTTTTACGAAGTTGTTGTGCTTATTATGTTTTGTACAAAAAGTACAAAACATGGTCTTTTCCTTCTCATTATACAGCAGCCAGTCTCTTCCATTTTGCCACACATCCAGGAAATTTCTAACTCTGGTTTGTTCATAGTCCGTTTTTGTGTTCACCGGCGTACTACTACTAGTACTAGGCCTAGTACTGACGGCGTTAGAGTCAGTGGATGGGCTACTCGCCGCGATGCCGGCTCCCGACGATGAGCTGGAAACATGTATATTATTATTAACCCTACCTCGCCGTCATTTTTTGTTGATTTTGGAGCATGGTCATCATCCGACAATCCAGCGTCGGTAGCACTCCTAGTACCAGTTTTTTTGCCCAGCTTATAGAACCCAAACCTTAATAGGCTCATAATTTCTATATTCACAAGTCGATCAAACTTTGACACTTCGAAAAACCCTGTTTTCACAAACGTAACCACGCGGGCGTGATCGTTGGTCCCCTACTATGTAGCATCATATAGCCACCGTGTGCGGCACCAGTGATCACGAGGACACCACACACATTACACCAGCATGTCGTTCTTGTAGAGGTTATAAATATTCATGATAATTTTTGTCGTCATACCAATCGCGGAATCTCATTGGGTCAAAATACAGAAACACTCATTGATAAAAAAAAAAAGTGTCCTTACCGCGCGCGCGCCGTGTTCGTTTCGTTCCAACATTCATAGAATTGTCAACCTCGGGCCCGTGGTGAACAATGTACAATAATAATCTCTCACGATACCGCGGGATCGAGTGCATATTTATCAGCTGACAGAATGTATAGTCAGGTTGCCCTTCCACACAGAGCAAAAATGCACGCGAAATGTCATTACAAAATAGCTAACTTCTGGGTACCAGCCGCTGTACACAGCTGTATGCCAGCGTGTAGCGGAACTTCGCGCGTTTCATCGGACATGTCGGATAGCGCATCGGAATGGTGATATTTGTTGCTGATCGTTAGTAATTTTCGAGGTTTTTTTGTCCGGCGCAAATTATTTATTGTTGGCTTCCAGAAGTGAATTCGACATCGGTATGATTTGCATCATTTTATTAATTTTTGGGGGGGTAAAAACCAAATCTTTTTGAGCTTGAATATACAATTTTAGGTAGGCCCTTGCCTGAAATAAGGTTGCCCGGCGGGCAACCACGGTCAGCTCAATTGTTGCCCGCATGATTTTTTGGTTGCCCCGGGCAACCGGGCAACCATTAATTTCGCACCCTGCTCTTGGCACCTCCTGTGAACTTTTGAGCAATATTGGTGAAGTTGGATTTTTGGGTGAAAAACTGCCTTTTTCGATGATGCCGGCTATGGAAAACGTTGAAGTTTTGGGGGCATTTTGTAAAAAATCAAAAAGTTTTCTTTTCTCACTGGAGACTGAATGTAATGAGTTGAACTCTTCAGGGAATTCAATTTTGGCCTCTAGGCACCTTCTTTGAACTTTTGAGCATTTTTATAGAAGTTGGATTTTTGGGTGAAAAACTGACTTTTTCGATGATGCCGGCTATGGAAAACGTTGAAGTTTTGGGGGCATTGTGTAAAAAATCAAAAAGTTTTCTTTTCTCACTGGATACTGAATTTAATGAGTTGAACTCTTTAGGGAATTCAATTCTGGCCTCTAGGCACCTCCTCTGAAGTTTTGAGCAATTTTGGAGAAGTTGGATTTTTGGGTGAAAAACTGACTTGTTTGATGATGCCGGCTATGGAAAATGTTGAAGTTTTGGGGGCATTTTGTAAAAAATCAAAAAGTTTTCTTTTCTCACTGGATACTGAATGTAATGAGTTGAACTCTTCAGGGAATTCAATTTTGGCCTCTAGGCACCTTCTTTGAACTTTTGAGCATTTTTATAGAAGTTGGATTTTTGGGTGAAAAACTGACTTTTTCGATGATGCCGGCTATGGAAAACGTTGAAGTTTTGGGGGCATTGTGTAAAAAATCAAAAAGTTTTCTTTTCTCACTGGATACTGAATTTAATGAGTTGAACTCTTTAGGGAATTCAATTCTGGCCTCTAGGCACCTCCTCTGAAGTTTTGAGCAATTTTGGAGAAGTTGGATTTTTGGGTGAAAAACTGACTTTTTCGATGATGCCGGCTATGGAAAATGTTGAAGTTTTGGGGGCATTTTGTAAAAAAATCAAAAAGTTTTCTTTTCTCACTGGATACTGAATGTAATGAGTTGAACTCTTCAGGGAATTCAATTCTGGCCTCTAGGCACCTCCTGTGAATTTTTGAGCAATTTTGGTAAAGTTGGATTTTTGGGGTAAAAACTGACTTTTTCGATGATGCCGGCTATGGAAAACGTTGAAGTTTGGGGGCATTTTGTAAAAAATCAAAAAGTTTTCTTTTCTCACTGGATACTGAATTTAATGAGTTGAACTCTTTAGGGAATTCAATTCTGGCCTCTAGGCACCTCCTCTGAAGTTTTGAGCAATTTGGAGAAGTTGGATTTTTGGGTGAAAAACTAACTTTTTCGATGATGCCGGCTATGGAAAACATTGAAGTTTTGGGGGCATTTTGTAAAAAATCAAAAAGTTTTCTTTTCTCACTGGATACTGAATGTAATGAGTTGAACTCTTCAGGGAATTCAATTTTGGCCTCTAGTCACCTTCTTTGAACTTTTGAGCAATTTTGGAGAAGTTGTATTTTTGGGTGAAAAACTAACTTTTTCGATGATGCCGGCTATGGAAAACGTTGAAGTTTTTGGGGCATTTTGTAAAAAATCAAAAAGTTTTCTTTTCTCACTGGATACTGAATGTAATGAGTTGAACTCTTCAGGAAATTCAATTGTGGCCTCTAGGCACCTCCTGTGAAGTTTTGAGAAATTTTGGAGAAATTGTATTTTTGGGTGAAAAACTGACTTTTTCGATGATGCCGGCTATGGAAAAAGTTGAAGTTTTGGGGGCATTTTGTAAAAAATCAAAAAGTTTTCTTTTCTCACTGGATACTGAATGTAATGAGTTGAACTCTTCAGGGAATTCAATTTTGGCCTCTAGGCACCTTCTTTGAACTTTTGAGCATTTTTGGAGAAGTTGGATTTTTGGGTGAAAAACTGACTTTTTCGATGACGCCGGCTATGGAAAACGTTGAAGTTTTGGGGGCATTTTGTATGAAATCAAAAAGTTTTCTTTTTTCACTGGATACTGAATGTAATGAGTTGAACTCTTCAGGGAATTCAATTCTGGTCTCTAGGCACCTCCTGTGAACTTTTGAGCAATTTTAGAGAAGTTGGTTTTTTGGGTGAAAAACTGACTTTTTCGATGATGCCGGCTATGGAAAACGTTGAAGTTTTGGGGGCAATTTGTAAAAAATCAAAAAGTTTTCTTTTCTCACTGGATACTGAATATAATGAGTTGAACTCTTCACGGGGTTTCAATTCAGGCCTCTAGGCACCTTCTTTGAACTTTTGAGCAATTTTGGAGAAGTTGGATTTTTGGGTGAAAAACTGACTTTTTCGATGATGCCGGCTATGGAAAACGTTGAAGTTTTGGGGGCATTTTGTAAAAAATCAAAAAGTTTTCTTTTCTCACTGGATACTGAATGTAATGAGTTGAACTCTTCAGGGAATTCAATTCGGTTGAAGTTTTGGGGGCATTTTGTAAAAAATCAAAAAGTTTTCTTTTCTCACTGGATACTGAATGTAATGAGTTGAACTCGTCAGGGAATTCAATTGTGGCCTCTAGGCACCTCCTTTGAACTTTTGAGCAATTTTGGAGAAGTTGGATTTTTGGGTGAAAAACTGACTTTTTCGATGATGCCGGCTATGGAAAACGTTAGAGTTTTGGGGGCATTTTGTAAAAAATCAAAAAGTTTTCTTTTCTCACTGGATACTGAATGTAATGAGTTGAACTCTTCAGGGAATTCAATTCTGGCCTCTATTCACCTTCTTTCAACTTTTGAGCAATTTTGGAAAAGTTGTATTTTTGGGTGAAAAACTGACTTTTTCGATGATGCCGGCTATGGAAAACGTTGAAGTTTTTGGGGCATTTTGTAAAAAATCAAAAAGTTTTCTTTTCTCACTGGATACTGAATGTAATGAGTTGAACTCTTCAGGAAATTCAATTGTGGCCTCTAGGCACCTCCTGTGAAGTTTTGAGAAATTTTGGAGAAGTTGTATTTTTGGGTGAAAAACTGACTTTTTCAATGATGCCGGCTATGGAAAACGTTGAAGTTTTGGGGGCATTTTGTAAAAAATCAAAAAGTTTTCTTTTCTCACTGGATACTGAATGTAATGAGTTGAACTGTTCAGGGAATTCAATTCTGGCCTCTAGGCACCTCCTGTGAATTTTTGAGCAATTTTGGTGAAGTTGGATTTTTGGGTGAAAAACTGACTTTTTCGATGACGCCGGCTATGGAAAACGTTGAAGTTTTGGGGGCATTTTGTAAAAAATCAAAAAGTTTTCTTTTCTCACTGGATACTGAATGTAATGAGTTGAACTCTTCAGGGAATTCAATTCTGGCCTCTAGTCACCTTCTTTCAACTTTTGAGCAATTTTGGAGAAGTTGGATTTTTGGGTGAAAAACTGACTTTTTCGATGATGCCGGCTATGGAAAACGTTGAAGTTTTTGGGGCATTTTGTAAAAATCTAAAAGTTTTCTTTTCTCACTGGATACTGAATGTAATGAGTTGAACTCTTCAGGAAATTCAATTGTGGCCTCTAGGCACTTTCTGTGAACTTTTGAGCAATTTTGGAGAAGTTGGATTTTTGGGTGAAAAATTGACTTTTTCGATGACGCCGGCTATGGAAAACGTTGAAGTTTTGGGGGCATTTTGTAAAAAATCAACAAGTTTTCTTTTCTCACTGGATACTGAATGTAATGAGTTGAACTCTTCAGGGAATTCAATTTTGGCCTCTAGTCACCTTCTTTGAACTGTTGAGCAATTTTGGAAAAGTTGTATTTTTGGGTGAAAAACTAACTTTTTCGATGATGCCGGCTATGGAAAACGTTGAAGTTTTTGGGGCATTTTGTAAAAAATCAAAAAGTTTTCTTTTCTCACTGGATACTGAATGTAATGAGTTGAACTCTTCAGGAAATTCAATTGTGGCCTCTAGGCACCTCCTGTGAAGTTTTGAGAAATTTTGGAGAAGTTGTATTTTTGGGTGAAAAACTGACTTTTTCGATGATGCCGGCTATGGAAAACGTTGAAGTTTTGGGGCATTTTGTAAAAAAATCAAAAAGTTTTCTTTTCTCACTGGATACTGAATGTAATGAGTTGAACTCTTCAGGGAATTCAATTTTGGCCTCTAGGCACCTCCTGTGAAGTTTTGAGAAATTTTGGAGAAGTTGGATTTTTGGGTGAAAAACTGACTTTTTTGATGATGCCGGCTATGGAAAACGTTGAAGTTTTTGGGGCATTAAGTAAAAAATCAAAAAGTTTTCTTTTCTCACTGGATACTGAATGTAATGAGTTGAACTCTTCAGGGAATTCAATTCTGGCCTCTAGGCACCTCCTGTGAATTTTTGAGCAATTTTGGAGAAGTTGGATTTTTGGGTGAAAAACTGACTTTTATCATTTAAATCATCATACACAAACAAAACACACTATACTCATTAATTTGGGATTGTGCGAGCTGCAGCAACCAATACTTTTAATTAGCTTACACTGTTTCATCGACTTCTCAAATTACACATCATTATTAATGATAACTTTGCACGATATACATCGAGATATATATCAACATATTAAGTATTAATCACAAACTGTGAATTCGACCCATTGCTTTTGGTGATCGCCAGATACGAAAAACCACAAACCTTTTTGGAAAAAGTGGAAACGTATGCCCTGACCTATGCTGACCACCGCTCTCAGGCTAGCTAAGCAATGATAATGGGAGGTTCTTAAAACAACGTATTTTAAGATAGAATTACTTTAGCCATTACAATAGCATATAATTAAATAAATAACGTGTGTTGCGTTGCTGCTAGCAAGCGTGAAGTGACGCGTTTCTCCGCTAGCATCACATACCACTACCTATTCAAAATTCCCGCTCTGACCATCGAACCATACAATCATTAGCATATCAATGATAAATTCGATGCATTCTAATTCATTCTGGACTCAACCGAATACATCAACATTTATCATTTAAATCATCATACACAAACAAAACACACTATACTCATTAATTTGGGATTGTGCGAGCTGCAGCAATCGGCTTGAATAAATAAAGAACGGGTGGATGTTAGATACCTAACCGCTGAGAAACAGATAATAAGTTAGAAA